TGCCATGAGCGCCTTGGGAGTATATTGGCAGGTTGAATTAAAAGCTGATTTAGCAGATCATAAATTTACATAGGAGGTGCAATTACTAGCGAAAAGATCAGAGTTCCATCTCCCAGTTTTGTTCGCTAGCAAAATCTGAACACACTTCTAAAACACAGTCCTCAATTACATACCTTAGCAAACACAAGTTGAAGCCACACACCACTACAAAGGCTTCTCTGCAAGTATGGTTCTTCTTGCACCTTTCATGCTTCTTATAAATTGATAAGTGGGCTAGCTATTTTCAATAACTGCAATAAGTTAGTCTTGTCTTCTTATCACTACCTTTCTGGAGGACTGGGTTAACCTCTTTGTAGGCTTTGTCCTCATCTTCAGTATGGCTACATAAATATGTAACTGCACAGACACAGTAGGGCTACACTCGCAAAGGCACTTTGCTTTTGGCCTATGATTTCCAAATGAAATTTACTAAATTTTGGAAATTAGATAGTTGGTAATATACACTATATGGATAAAAGTTTGTGGACACCTGACCATCACACCTACTATAGAATAAAAAGTCTTTGGATACCACTCAAAATAGTTCAGGTTTTTTTTAGTAAAGAGTACTAAAGCATACAGCATACAAAGTCATTTTAGATAAACGTGCATGTCCATCTTTGTGGTAAAAGTTTGGAGAAGACCCTTTTCTCCCCTGTTCTTCCTTCCACAGTATTCGAGCAGGGTGTACAGACACCTGCTCTAGGAAGTCATTCAATCATCTTGCCAATTTCCATGCTTCCAGCTTGAAGCCCACACTCTATGTACCTGTGGATGTTTTGTCATAAGGAATAATCTACACCAGTTGCCTTTCTAATGCTTTACTTGAACCCCAAAGAATAGTTTCCACAACACAGTACATTACCAGTCTTCGATCCCTACACTCTAGCAATGCAGACAACTTTAAGCGCCTGGGGTTTCACACAGGCTTTCCAAAGTACCACATTGTTCTCTCCTTAATTTAGGTTTCTTCAAGAAGGAGCGTCCCCAGGCTTGCCCCTGGGGGGGGGGGGGGGAGTTCCTAAACCTTCTTATGACCTACATATTGTCCATCTAAGACTAACTCTTCCCACACATCTCTAATACTCCACCCCCAAGCAGACATTATATAGACGATAGGGTGACCTACCCCCATGACACACCCCTAGGAAGACTTAACTATGTAGAGACTTAGCTCCTTCCTGCAGCCCGAACAGCTGATGATTTTGAACACCAATTGTTTGCCAGGTCTTTTCATCCTGAATCAGTACCTGGCTTTATAAATGCTTCTTTTGGCTGAATGAGTACAAATTTCAACAGACACAAAATCTTGCAGAAAGCCTTCCCAGAAGTGTGGAAGCTGTAATGGGCACAAAGGGGGTCCAGCTCCATATTAATGGCCATGGTTTCTTAAAACAGATTTCCAGCAAGGTCATATATTGAAGGTGTGATGGTCAGGTGTCCAAAAACCTTTGGCCATATAATGTATATAAAAAAACACTGGTGATTTGCTCTTGCAGAGTCACCTAAAACCAAAATATTAATTCTGGGTCAAAAAACCCCAACATATTATTTCCTAATATTTTGGTTTCTAATTCAGGAATTACATTTTACTTTCATAGCAGAGAACTTTCATAAAATAATTATACCATGTTGGTCCATTTATTATAACGGTATAGTATAGCAGATTGTGAACCTTTTCTTTCTTCACAGTAAATTTGACCTCAACATTTCGAATTTTCTTGGCAAGTATTTGTACCTCACAGCTGTCCAAATATCCTCCACGAAAAAGCAAATTAACATTACAGGAGTCTCTACCGAGAATTAAATTAGTGACTGAAACTAAAAAGTGTCTTTTCTGCTCCACAAAAATATTAGAAACTTTACTTTTTCTTTTCTAATTGAGAAAAAGTTACAGTGATCAAATAAGGGCTCAGAGGAGCAGAGGTCAATCATACATCTCTTTTGCGGCTGCTGTCTGTAAACCCCTCCGTCAAATTGAAAGAACTGAAAGTCAGAATTAGTTTTAACAGCATTCTTTGTGTAACTTGCAGAGTTGACAAGAGAAGGAAAGTAGATGAACGCTGCAGTATAGGTTAAAGGATAAATTCACCTTTTGGACAAAAATAATAAATGCATGTTTTTTTGCAGGTAAAAAAATGTGCATTTATTATTTTTGTCCAAAGGAGCCTGGAAAGCATTGCACCAGCTATCAGTAGATCGCTGATGCCATGCAGGTCTCCTGCAGACCTGTCAGAATATCTGTTTGCTGTACGGGATGTATGGATCAAGCAGATATACTGACAGGAAGCTTCAATGAACTACCGTGCCGTTCCACAGCACCGTGGTAGCTCATTGAATACTACAACTCGCAGTTGAAGCACATTTTGATTTGATACCAGCACTCAGTCTTTTTGGGTATGAGTCTATCAGCACGGAACATCTTGACTTGGCAATATTTACCCACTCTTCCTTGCAAAAACACTCCAAATCTCTCAGATTGCGAGGGCATCTCCTGTGCACAGCCCTCTTCAGAGCACCCCACAGATTTCCCATCGGATTCAGGTCTGGGATCTTGCTGGGCCATTCCAAAACTTTATTCTTCTTCTGGTGAAGCCATTCCTTTGTTGATTTGAATGTATGCTTTGGGTGCGACTAAGAAAATGTTAGGAAAGACCTACTAGAACAGCTGAACTTTATTTGGGGTTAATCAGAGGCACTTTAATGATGGCAGGTGTGTACTGACTCCTATTTAACAGGATTTTGAATGTGATTGCTTAATTCTGAACACAGCTACATCCCCACTTATAAGAGGGTGTGCACACTTATGCAACCACATTATTTTAGTTTTTTATTTTTACTTCCCCCCCTAAAAGATTTCAGTTTGTTTTTCAATTGAGTTGTACAGTTTATAAAGGTGGAAAAAGTTCTGAAATTATTTATCTTTGTGTCATATTTTTACATCACAGAAACCTGACATTTTAACAGGGATGTGTAGACTTTTTATATCCACTGTAACTGCAAAATGATAGATTTTTACATTGGCGCATACTCAGCTTTGCTTATTGATCTGCTTAGGAGAAATGTACGTTATAACATTCTTCCTCTTTTTTTATTTACAAGGTGTGTTTATTTTTCGGTGGGAGTGGGGACTAGAGTGGTTTATTTTACTGTAAGTCATTTAGTATTCTTTATATTTGTGTATTTCCCTTTTTAATGATGCTAATGAGGGTTCATCTATGGCACAAAAACGGGTCCATGATGGTTGAAAGGGAGTTCTGTTGTCCTCAGGAGCCATTTAAAGCCAATTTTACCCCAAAAACTGACTTAAAGTTATCTTTTGCATTGTTTCCAAAACTTTTTTTGCAAAAATGGAGAAATTTATCTGAAATCCCCTTATTTTGTCTTGACTTTCAGGGAAATGGAAATTCTCTATTTTGCTCATCCCTAGTCAAATAAGGCCATAGTCAGGGTATATACTAGTATTATAAATTTCATTATGTACAAAGGAGGGACAGAGGCAGCAGATGTTTTTGTGATGAACAAAGCAGGAGATAGTCAGTGTGTGAATGTGAGGTTTAAATGGGAGAGCAGGATCCGATTTTACTTCTGTGAAACAAACTTGGCTAACTGGAGTTATTATGATTTTGATATTTGTTATTTTTAGTATGTGTCATTTCAAGCAGGAAGCAGGCATAGGTTGCTATTAGAGATGAGCGAAGTATTCAAAAATTCGATTCGACTGATTCGGCGAATTCGTGGAAAAATTTTGATTCGAGTCGAATATATTCGCTGTGAATTTAACTTAAAAAAGGGTGTTTCTAGGCTTCAGAGAGACTTAATATTAGTGCAGAACACTGTACCTTTAATTTAAATGCCCTTGGAGTCTGCTGGGGAAGAGAAATAATACTGTCAGTCAGTATGACATGCAGATGAGTGCCGTCGATCTTAGAATTCACCGCACACTTCACTCATTTGGGCAGTCACGGGGCCAAAACCAGAGTGTGGAGCCACAGTGTGGCGGTGGAGGCAGCAGCAATGGGAGGCCATACAGCACCCTATGACAAAAATGGAAACCACCAGCAGTGTGAGGAGACCTGAAAGTGGCACATGGCAGAGTGTGGCGATAGAGAGACAGCAGCAATGGGAGGCCGTACAGGGACCCATGACACACTCTGGACCTGGCAGCAGCATGAGGAGGCGGTACAGGGGCCCATGACAGATTACGGGCCTGGCAGCAGCATGAGGAGTCGGTACGGGGGCCCATGGCAGATTACGGGCCTGGCAGCAGCAATGGGAGGCCGTACAGGGACCCATGACACACTCTGGACCTGGCAGCAGCATGGGGAGGCGGTACAGGGGCCCATGACAGATTACGGGCCTGGCAGCAGCATGAGGAGTCGGTACGGGGGCCCATGACACACTCTGGACCTGGCAGCAGCATGAGGAGGCGGTACAGGGGCGCATGACAGATTACGAGCCTGGCAGCAGCAACTTGGACAGGAGGACGTTCAGCTTCTGCACCGTCGGGTGCGTGCTCGCAAACTGTTGTCTCTTGGAAACGGATTCCAAGAAAGACTGCTGACGGAATCCGTGAAGAGGAGTAGCAGGAGAAGGAGCATCTGAACGAGCGAATATGCCAACAAGCGACAACAGGGGCCCATGACAGATTACGGGCCTGGCAGCAGCATGAGGAGTCGGTACGGGGGCCCATGGCAGATTAGGGGCCTGGCAGCAGCTATGGGAGGCCCGTAATCTGCCAGCACCCTATGACAAAAAATGGAACCCACCAGCAGTGTGAGGAGACCTGAAAGTGGCACATGGCAGAGTGTGGCGATGGAGACAGCAGCAATGGGAGGCCGTACAGGGACCCATGAGAGACTCTGGACCTGGCAGCAGCATGAGGAGGCGGTATAGGGGCCCATGGCAGATTAGGGGCCTGGCAGCAGCTATGGGAGGCCCGTAATCTGCCAGCACCCTATGACAAAAAATGGAACACACCAGCAGTGTGAGGAGACCTGAAAGTGGCACATGGCAGAGTGTGGCGATGGAGACAGCAGCAATGGGAGGCCGTACAGGGACCCATGAGAGACTCTGGACTTGGCAGCAGCATGAGGAGGCGGGTATAGGGGCCCATGGCAGATTAGGGGCCTGGCAGCAGCTATGGGAGGCCCGTAATCTGCCAGCACCCTATGACAAAAAATGGAACACACCAGCAGTGTGAGGAGACCTGAAAGTGGCACATGTTTGGGGCATGATTCATGGCGGATTTAGTCAGTTGTGTCAGGAACTGGTGGTTTGAAATCCAGACTAATCCACGCCTGATTCATTTTCACAAACGTCAGTCTCTCCACACTTTGGGTGGACAGTCGTGTCCTCCGCGGAGTTGCAATACCTCCTGCCGCACTAAACACGCGCGCTCCGATGCCACGCTACTGGCCGGGCATGACAGCCTTTCAAGGGCAAATTCAGCTAGTTGGGGCCAAAGGTCAAGTTTCGTTGCCCAGTAGTCAAGGGGATTGTCTACCTCGGTTGGCAGGGTGCTGTCCAAGTAGGCCTAAGCCTGTTGTTTGAGGTCCTGCTCCAGGTCCACCTGATGCTGCTGCTGCTGCTGCTGCTGCGGCTGGTTAGTAGTTTCCTCACTGCGCTGGTGAAGAAAGCTACTCATCATCGACTGCAGACTGAGGCAGCTGCTGCTGGTGGAGCTGCCACTGCTCCTACCACCCCACCCCCCCCCTGCTGCCATGGCAGCAGCGGAACGCGAGCGCACAGGGCCCACAGTGTCTGAGGATGGACGTTGGCGCAGACAGGCAGAGACCAGCTGACTACATAGGTGGTTTTTTATAGTACGTTATTTTGGCCTCCCTCTCAGCAGGTGTGTGAAAAAGGCCACCATTTTTGAACGGTAGCGAGGGTCCCACAAGGTGGACAGCCAAAAGTCATCCCCTCTGTCTGATGGTTATTATTCGGCTGTCGCGTACGCAAGCAAGCGAGCATGCTATGGGCCATTTGTGCCAAGGAATGCGAGGGACTCCCTGCCTCCATCTCCACAGCATACTGCCACGGTGCGTCTGGGTCCTCTGTCTCCTCTTCCTCCTCCTCTACCAGATGCTCCTGCTCCTCCACTCCTGTCCGCTGAGTGGAAAAACCACCCATTTCACTCAATAATTCCTGAGCACCAATGTCCTCCTCTACCTCCTCCTCTTCTTCCTGTCCTGCCCCCACAGGGGTCATGTGGCGTTGAGATCTGTGCGCCACGTCTACCGCACCCTGACCAGCCATTGTTAACAGCATTTGTTCCAGGACGTGCAACAGAGGAATGACGTCGTTCATCCCATAGTCCTGCCGACTCACGAATAGCGTGGCCTCCTCAAAGGGCCTGAGCAAGCGCAGGTGTCACGCATGAGCTGCCAATGGCTGACATCTAAGTTACACAGGGAGTACCTTTATCCGCTTTTAACATCAGGAAATCTGTGATGGCCTTTTGCTGTTCGTAAAGGCGGTCTAACATATGTAGGGTTGAATTCCACCTTGTTGCAACGTCACAGCATGAGGAGTCGGTATACGGGGGCCCATGGCAGATTAGGGGCCTGGCAGCAGCAATGGGAGGCCCGTAATCTGCCAGCACCCTATGTCAAAAAATTCAACACACCAGCAGTGTGTGAGGAGACCTGAAAGTGGCACATGGCAGAGTGTGGCGATGGAGACAGCAGCAATGGGAGGCCGTACAGGGACCCATGAGAGACTCTGGACCTGGCAGCAGCATGAGGAGGCGGTATATAGGGGCCCATGGCAGATTAGGGGCCTGGCAGCAGCTATAGGAGGCCCGTAATCTGCCAGCACCCTATGTCAAAAAATTCAACACACCAGCAGTGTGAGGAGACCTGAAAGTGGCACATGGCAGAGAGTGTGTGGCGATGGAGACAGCGCAATGGGAGGCCGTACAGGGACCCATGACAGACTCTGGACTGGCAGCAGCATGAGGAGGCGGTATATATAGGGGCCTATGGCAGATTTAGGGGCCTGGCAGCAGCTATGGGGGAGGCCCGTAATCTGCCAGCACCCTATGTCAAAAAATTGAAACACACACCAGCAGTGTGTGAGGAGACCTGAAAGTGGCACATGGCAGAGTGTGGCGATGGAGACAGCAGCAATGGGAGGCCGTACAGGGACCCATGAGAGACTCTGGGACTTGGCAGCAGCATGAGGAGGCGGTATAGGGGCCCATGGCAGATTAGGGGCCTGGCAGCAGCTATGGGAGGCCCGTAATCTGCCAGCACCCTATGTCAAAAAAAATTCAACACACCAGCAGTGTGTGAGGAGACCTGAAAGTGGCACATGGCAGAGTGTGGCGATGGAGACAGCAGCAATGGGAGGCCGTACAGGGACCCATGAGAGACTCTGGACTGGCAGCAGCATGAGGAGGCGGTATATAGGGGCCTATGGCAGATTAGGGGGGCCTGGCAGCAGCTATGGGAGGCCCGTAATCTGCCAGCACCCTATGAAAAAAAAAAATTGAACACACCAGCAGTGTGTGAGGAGACCTGAAAGTGGCACATGGCAGAGTGTGGCGATGGAGACAGCAGCAATGGGATGGGAGGCCGTACAGGGACCCATGATGACAGACTCTGGACCTGGCAGCAGCATGAGGAGGCGGTATATAGGGGCCTATGGCAGATTAGGGGCCTGGCAGCAGCAGCTATGGGAGGCCCGTAATCTGCCAGCACCCTATGTCAAAAAATTGAAACACACCAGCAGTGTGTGAGGAGACCTGAAAGTGGCAAATGGGCACATGGCAGAGTGTGGCGATGGGACAGCAGCAGCAATGGGAGGCCGTACAGGGACCCATGACAGACTCTGGACTTGGCAGCAGCATGAGGAGGGCGGGTATAGGGGCCCATGGCAGATTAGGGGCCTGGCAGCAGCTATGGGAGGCCCGTAATCTGCCAGCACCCTATGTCAAAAAAATTCAACACACCAGCAGTGTGTGAGGAGACCTGAAAGTGGCACATGCAGAAGAGTGGGCGATGGCATGGGAGGCCGTACAGGGACCCATGAGAGACTCTGGACCTGGCAGCAGCATGAGGAGGCGGTATAGGGGCCCATGGCAGATTAGGGGCCTGGCAGCAGCTAGGAGGCCCGTAATCTGCCAGCACCCTATGTCAAAAAATTGAACACACCAGCAGTGTGTGAGGAGACCTGAAAGTGGCACATGGCATGGCAGAGTGTGGCGATGGAGACAGCAGCAATGGGAGGCCGTACAGGGACCCATGACAGACTCTGGACTTGGCAGCAGCATGAGGAGGCGGTATATAGGGGCCATGGCAGATTAGGGGCCTGGCAGCAGCAGCTATAGGAGGCCCGTAATCTGCCAGCACCCTATGTCAAAAAATTCAACACACCAGCAGTGTGTGAGGAGACCTGAAAGTGGCACATGGCAGAGTGTGGCGATGGAGACAGCAGCAATGGGAGGCCGTACAGGGACCCATGACAGACTCTGGACTTGGCAGCAGCATGAGGAGGCGGTATATAGGGGCCCATGGCAGATTAGGGGCCTGGCAGCAGCTATGGGAGGCCCGTAAATGCCAGCACCCTATGTCAAAAAATTGAACACACCAGCAGTGTGTGAGGAGACCTGAAAGTGGCACATGGCAGAGTGTGGCGATGGAGACAGCAGCAATGGGAGGCCGTACAGGGACCCATGACAGACTCTGGACCTGGCAGCAGCATGAGGAGGCGGTATAGGGGCCCATGGCAGATTAGGGGCCTGGGCAGCTAGCTATGGGAGGCCCGTAATCTGCCAGCAGCACCCTATGTCAAAAAATTGAACACACCAGCAGTGTGTGAGGAGACCTGAAAGTGGCACATGGCAGAGTGTGGCGATGGAGACAGCAGCAATGGGCCGTAGATAGGCCGTACAGGGACCCATGGAGAGACTCTGGACTTGGCAGCAGCATGAGGAGGCGGTATATAGGGGCCCATGGCAGATTAGGGGCCTGGCAGCAGCTATGGGAGGCCCGTAATCTGCCAGCACCCTATGTCAAAAAATTCAACACACCACCAGCAGTGTGAGGAGACCTGAAAGTGGCACATGGCAGAGTGTGGCGATGGAGACAGCAGCAATGGGAGGCCGTACAGGGACCCATGAGACTCTGGACTGGCAGCAGCAGCATGAGGAGGCGGTATATAGGGGCCCATGGCAGATTAGGGGCCTGGCAGCAGCTATGGGAGGCCCGTAATCTGCCAGCACCCCCTATGTCAAAAAATTGAACACACCAGCAGTGTGTGAGGAGACCTGAAAGTGGCACATGGCAGAGTGTGGCGATGGAGACAGCAGCAATGGGAGGGCCGTACAGGGACCCATGACAGACAGACTCTGGACTTGGCAGCACCATGAGGAGGCGGTATATAGGGGCCCATGGCAGATTAGGGGCCTGGCAGCAGCTATGGGAGGCCCGTAATCTGCCAGCACCCTATGTCAAAAAATTCAACACACCAGCAGTGTGAGGAGACCTGAAAGTGGCATGGCAGTGTGGCATGAGACAGTGGACCTGGGAGGCCGTACAGCATGAGGAGGCTGGACCTGGCAGCAGCATGAGGAGGCGGTATATAGGGGCCCATGGCAGATTAGGGGCCTGGCAGCAGCTATGGGAGGCCCGTAATCTGCCAGCACCCTATGTCAAAAAATTGAAACACCAGCAGTGTGTGTGAGGAGACCTGAAAGTGGCACATGGCAGAGTGTGGCGATGGAGACAGCAGCAATGGGAGGCCGTACAGGGACCCATGACAGACTCTGGACTATGGCAGCAGCATGAGGAGGCGGTATAGGGGCCCATGTGGCAGATTAGGGGCCTGGCAGCAGCTATGGGAGGCCCGTAATCTGCCAGCACCCTATGTCAAAAAATTCAACACACCAGCAGTGAGGAGACCTGAAAGTGGCACATGGCATGGCATGGAGACAGCAGCAATGGGACTACAGGGACCCATGACAGACTCTGGACCTGGCAGCAGCATGAGGAGGCGGTATAGGGGCCCATGGCAGATTAGGGGCCTGGCAGCAGCTATGGGAGGCCCGTAATCTGCCAGCACCCTATGTCAAAAAATGAACAACACACCAGCAGTGTGTGTGAGGAGACCTGAAAGTGGCACATGGCAGAGTGTGGCGATGGAGACAGCAGCAATGGGAGGCCGTACAGGGACCCATGAGAGACTCTGGACCTGGCAGCAGCATGAGGAGGCGGTATATAGGGGCCTATGGCAGATTAGGGGCCTGGCAGCAGCTATGGGAGGAGGCCCGTAATCTGCCAGCACCCTATGTCAAAAAATTCAACACACCAGCAGTGTGAGGAGACCTGAAAGTGGCACATGGCAGAGTGTGGCGATGGAGACAGCAGCAATGGGAGGCCGTACAGGGACCCATGACAGACTCTGGACCTGGCAGCAGCATGAGGAGGCGGTATATAGGGGCCTATGGCAGATTAGGGGCCTGGCAGCAGCAGCTATGGGAGGCCCGTAATCTGCCAGCACCCTATGTCAAAAAATTGAACACACCAGCAGTGTGTGAGGAGACCTGAAAGTGGCACATGGCAGAGTGTGGCGATGGAGACAGCAGCAATGGGAGGCCGTACAGGGACCCATGAGAGACTCTGGACTTGGCAGCAGCATGAGGAGGCGGTATAGGGGGCCCATGGCAGATTAGGGGCCTGGCAGCAGCTATGGGAGGCCCGTAATCTGCCAGCACCCTATGTCAAAAAATGGAAAACACACCAGCAGTGTGAGGAGACCTGAAAGTGGCACATGGCAGAGTGTGGCGATGGAGACAGCAGCAATGGGAGGCCGTACAGGGACCCATGACAGACTCTGGACCTGGCAGCAGCAGCATGAGAGGCGGTATAGGGGCCTATGGCAGATTAGGGGCCTGGCAGCAGCTATGGGAGGCCCGTAATCTGCTGCCAGCACCCTATGTCAAAAAATTGAAAAAAAACACACCAGCAGTGTGTGAGGAGACCTGAAAGTGGCACATGGCAGAGTGTGGCGATGGAGACAGCAGCAATGGGAGGCCGTACAGGGACCCATGAGAGACACTGGACCTTGGCAGCAGCATGAGGAGGGCGGTATAGGGGCCCATGGCAGATTAGGGGCCTGGCAGCAGCTATGGGAGGCCCGTAATCTGCCAGCACCCTATGTCACAAAAAATTCAAACACACCAGCAGTGTGAGGAGACCTGAAAGTGGCACATGGCAGAGAGTGTGGCGATGGAGACAGCAGCAATGGGAGGCCGTACAGGGACCCATGACAGACTCTGGACTTGGCAGCAGCATGAGGAGGCGGTATAGGGGCCCATGGCAGATTAGGGGCCTGGCAGCAGCTATGGGAGGCCCGTAATCTGCCAGCACCCTATGTCAAAAATTCAACACACCCAGCAGTGTGAGGAGACCTGAAAGTGGCACATGGCAGAGTGTGGCGATGGAGACAGCAGCAGCAATGGGAGGCCGTACAGGGACCCATGACAGACTCTGGACTTGGCAGCAGCATGAGGAGGCGGTATATAGGGGCCCATGGCAGATTAGGGGCCTGGCAGCAGCTATGGGAGGCCCGTAATCTGCCAGCACCCTATGTCAAAAAAAACTGAACACACCAGCAGTGTGTGAGGAGACCTGAAAGTGGCACATGGCAGAGTGTGGCGATGGAGACAGCAGCAATGGGAGGCGTACAGGGACCCATGACAGACTCTGGACCTGGCAGCAGCATGATGAGGCGGTATATAG